ATAAAAGTTTGTAAACAGTGACTATGGGGAAGAGGACAGACGGATATGGGGGAAAAGAGGTTGGACAGGGATATGGGGGAAAAAGAGGGGACATGACTATGGAGGAAGAGGAAGGACATGACTAAGGAGGGAAGAGGACAGACATAGACTATGGAGGAAGAGACACATACATGGACTATGAAGGGAGAGGACGGACGGATGACGGGGGGGGGGGGGGGGTTACTGGGTGTAAATAGAACACTAACATCTTATTACCGTTTTATGACCTCGTGGCCTGTGTCTGGTCTGTGTTTGAGAATCAAACCTCCGCATATTCATGTGATCCCTTATCAGTTCCTAATTGGGGCGGAGATGAGTGTATTGGCCATCTCCTATAATTTAGATCAGCCTTATGGGGGGAGATCAATGATGGGGGGCACAGTCACTAGATGGTAGGAGATCACTGATGGGGGGGCACAGTCACTGATGGTAGGAGATCACTGTGATGGGGCTCAGTCCCACTGAATGGTAGGAAGATCACTGATGGGGGCCATAGTCTCTAGATGGTAGAGATCACTGATGGGGGGCACAGTCACTGATGGTAGGAGATCACTGATGGGGGGCACAGTTCCCCACTGAATGGTATGGAGATCAGTGATGGGGGGCACAGTCACTGATGGGGTTATGCTTTTGAGTGAGTGCTGCATTGATGGAGTGCTAAGAACATCCTGTATGCGGCTTTGAGGCCTTTTCTTTTTATGGTTGGTACTGTGTATTTACCTTGTTTTTTGTCTTCCCTGCAGGCCTTCATACAAGGGCTGGACTGGGTGGGTGGAGCGCGTTTCTAGAATAGGAGTGATTATTGTATAGAATAGGGGACATGTGGGGTTACATGCAAAAGTTCCATGTCTGAAAGGTTCCACAGGAGAGGAATCAGCAAATTCTGACATATCGCGAGGACCAAGTCATCAGTTTGAATGAAAGACAAGACTTCTGTTTTTGGTTATTTTTCATGCGTTTTGTTCCTTCTTCTGTCATTTTTTTCTTCCTTTCCTTATGTGAGTAAATACACATGGGAACGTTTTTTTTTGGCAATTGTAAGTATAAGTTTCTCTTGACATTTTGCAGAAATATGCTTTGTTTTATGTAAAAATGGAACTTTATTTTGATTTTTTTTTGGAACCATGGTAAAACTGACTTTTATTTTGATATATTTATAAATAATAAGAATGAAAAAAAAAATTGATGTGAGTGCTAAGAAGCAGTTTGAAACTAAAAGCAGAACTCAAGCAGCAGGAAGATACAACAAGAAACGCTGGACAGACTGGGAGCATAACACCCGGGAGTGACAAGATCTCTTACATGTCGTAAGTCACCACTCGTGTGCCTTTTCATAGTTGTCCCTCCCTAGCGTCTGTCTCCTTTTCATATTACTTTTCATGCGTTCCCAAAATCTCACTTCTTTACCCCTCTACTCCACCCCAAAACGTATACATCTCCCCCTCACTGCTACCATCTCCCTAATACGGCTCTCATCACCTCCTGCTGACCCCAATTCTCACACCTAGGACAGAAATGGCAATGTTGCGCTCATGTACATCCCCCACTCCCTCTTACTTCTCCTCACCCACTTCTTCTTCTCCTAACCTCTGGGTATATCTCCCCAAACCCTGGACCATCCACTATCCACCTCCACACCAGGCACCCCATCCTTCTTCTCCGATAACCTCTGGGGAAATCTCCCCAAAATCCTGGGTCCTTCACTATTTCCACCCTGCACCAGGCTCCTTCCTTCTTCTTACTTCTGGGGATATCTCCCAAACCCTCTGGTTCTCAGTATCTCACCCCAGCACCAGGCATCCTCCTTCTAACCTCTGGGGATTATCTCCCAAACCTTGGACCTCCCTATCTCACCCCCACACCAGGCATTCCTTCCTTCTCCTAAACCTACTGGGGGATATCTCCCCAAACACTGGTCCTCCAGTATCTCACCCCCACACCATTGCACCTCCTTCTCCTAATCTCTGGGAATATCTCCCCAAACCCCGGTTCCTCCACTATCTTCACCTCCACACCAGGCATCCTCCTTCTCCTAACCTCTGGGAGATATCTCCACCAAACCGGTCCTCCACTATCTCACCCCCACACCCAGGCATCCTCCTTCCTCCTCCTGGGGAACCTCTGGGGATATCTCCCCAAACAACGTGGCATCTCCTACTAACTCTGGGGGATATCTCCCCAAACCGTGGTCCCACTATCCTCACCCCACACAGGCAACGCTCCTTCTCCTAATCGCTGGGGATATCTCCCCAAACCCTGGTCCTCCACTATCTCACCCCATCTCACTAGGCACCCTCCTTCTCCTAACCTCTCGGGATATCTGCCCAAACCCTGGTTCTCCACTATCTCACTCCAGCACCCGCTCCTCCTTCTCCTAACCTCTGGGGATAGCTCCCAATCCCCTGGTCCTCCACTAACTCACTCGACACCTCTCCTTCTCCTAGCCTCTGGGGATAGCTCCCCAAACCCTGGTCTCCAACTATCTCACCCCCGCACCAGGCATCCTTCTTCTCCTAACCTCTGGGGATAGCTCCCCAAACCCTGGTCCTCCACTATCTCACCCCCACACCAGGCACCCTCCCTCTTCTCCTTACCTCTCGAGGATCTCCCACAAACCCTGGTTCTCCAGTATCTCACCCCCGCAGCAAGCATTCCTTCTTCTCCTAACCTCTGGGGATATCTCACCAAACCCTGGTCCTCCAGTATCTCACCCCAGCACCAGGCCATCCTCCTTTTCCTAACCTCTGGGAATATCTCCCCAAAACCTGGTCCTCCAGTATTTCCCCCGCACACCAGGCACCGTCTTTCCTCCAGGAATAGCCGCAATCCCACCCCCCCTCAATTTAATAGGAGTCCTCGTGCTCCAAAAAACCACCCCCCTTTTTCATGTGCGCTCTGGAATGCCCGCTCTGTCTGTAATAATCTCACTCTGTCATGACCTTTTTGTCTCCCGCTCCCTTAACCTACATAGCAATTACAGAAACCTGACTCCAAGCAGCAGATTCTGCTTCCCCCGCAGCACTTTCCTATGGAGGCCTCCTCTGGACCCACTCACCCAGACCCAGTGGGTCAGAAAGGTGGTGGGGTTGGTTTCACTTCTATCCCCACTGAGCACCTTTCAAGTCCTCCATAACCCTCCCTCTCTATCCTTCTCTTCTTCCCAGACTCACTGCATCCGGCTGTTTTCTCCCATTTCTCTGAGGATTGCAGTGATCTATCGTCCTCACTGGACCCGTTGTCCCGCTTTCTTGATGATTTCGCCCGCCTGGCTGCCCTACTTTCTTTCCTTCTGAACTACCCGCTATCATTCTCAGAGATTTTTACCATTTCCTTATTAATGTCAACAACCCGCGCTACATCCCAACTCTTCAACACTAACCTCATCCTTTTGCATTAGCACAATGTGTATACCGTCCTCCACTCACTCTGATGGGAATACATTACACCTTGTTTTCTCCCATCTTTGCACTCCCTACAACCTCACACAAACACCCCCCTTTCCTCTCTCTGATCACAATTCATCACCTTCACAGTCTCTTCGTCTTCAAACACCTATCCCTCCAAGCAGCAAAACAATTACCGCAGAAACCTTCACAACTTGACCGACCGGCTCCTTTCCACTCTGCAACTGACCTCCTCTATGACAGAATCAATGCCCTGTCCTGCCCTGACCTGGCCACTGCTGTCTACAACATGTTTCACTGTCTATCCACATTAGACTGACTTGCATCCTCTAACAACACGAAGCATCAGGCCCCAACCATTACAACTCCCGCAGCAGACTTGACCACACCGCACCCGGACGATCTTAAACAACATAGTCATGCGCTGGAGCGATTGGCGTAAAACAAAAAAAAACTCAACAAGCCAAAAATCTGCTTTCTTCACATTACAATTCCTCCCCTCCATGCTGCCAAACAAGACGACTTTCTCACTCTTATTAATAGCTTGTCATCCAGTCCTCCTCGTCTCTTCTCTATTTTCCTCCACCTCCACCTCCACCCAGTACCTCACTCACTGCCACATGAGATTGCAAATCATTTCAAAAACTAGATTGATGCAATTCATAGCGGCATCACACTGCACAGACATCCATCCCACTTAGCATTCCTTATACTAAACCTCCCTCAAACACTTTTCCTCTTCTGACCTCGCTACTACTGAAGAGGTCACTAGGTTTTCTTAGAAGCCCGTCTCACTACCTGCCCCCTGGATCCTGTCCCCTCACAACAGCTACTATGGTCACCCTCTTCTTCCATCCTATGCTCCCTCACTCACATCTTCAATCTTTCCCTCTCTACTGGTGCCTTCCCCTCCCCCTCTAAAGCATGCGCACATCCACCCCCACTCCCCATTACTTAACAAGCCCTCCCTGGACCCCACCAACCTGAACAACTTAAGACCCATCTCCATGCTGCCATTTACCTCTAAACTCCTAGAATGCTTAGTCCACCCCATAAAATCGCCTGCTGAGCTCCCACCTCACTGACAACAACCTTCTTCACCCTTTTACAGTCTGCTTTCACTCACTACACTCCACTGAAACTGGACTACTAAAACTCACTAATGATCTACTAACTGCTAAAACCAATGGCCACTACTTCGTACGCATCCAAACCAATGGCCACTACTCCATACTCATTCCAACCAATGGTCACTACTCCCGTACTCATCCAACCAATGGCCACTACTCCGTAACTCATCCCAACCCAATGGCCACTACTCCGTACTCATCCCAACCAATGGCCACTACTCCGTACTCATCACAACCAATGGCCATCTACTCCGTACTCATCACAACCAATGGCCACTACTCCGTACTCATCCCAACCAATGGCCACTACTCCCCATACTCATCCCAACCAATGGCCACTACTCCGTATTAATCCCAACCAATGGTCGCTATTCCCTTCTCATCCCAACGATGGTCACTACTCCGTACTCTTCCCAACCCTAATGACCACTACTCCATACTCATCCCAACCAATGGCCACTACTCTGTATTAATCCCAACCAATGGGTCGCTATTCCCTTCTCATCCCAACCAATGGCCACTACTCCGTACTCATCCCAGCCAATGGCCACTACTCCGTACTCATCCCCCAGCCAATGGCCACTAACTCCGTACTCATCCCAGCCAATGGCCCCACTACTCCCCGTACTCATCCCAGCCAATGGCCACTACTCCGTACTCATCCCAGCCAATGGCCACTACTCCGTACTCATCCCAACCAATGACCACTACTCCGTACTCATCCCAACCAATGACCACTACTCCGTACTCATCCCAGCCAATGGCCACTACTCCGTACTCATCCCAACCAATGGTCAACACTCCATACTCATCCCAACCAATGGCCACTACTCCATACTCATCCCAGCCAATGGCCACTACTCCATACTCATCCCAGCCAATGGCCACTACTCCATACTCATCCCAGCCAATGGCCACTACTCCGTACTCATCCCCAGCCAATGGCCACTACTCCGTTACTCATCCCACCAGCTCAATGGCCATTACTCCGTACTCATACCAGCCAATGGCCACTACTCCGTACTCGTACTACTTAACCTCTCTGCGGCTTTTGATATGGTTGACCACCCCCTCCTCAAAAAACTACACTCTCTTGGCCTCCGAAACTTTGCTCTCTCCTGGTTCTCCTCCTACCTATCGCAGCACTCCTTCAGTGTTACCGATAACTCCTGCCTCCTCCTCTTCACTCCCTCTCTCTGTAGGGTCCCTCAAGGCTCTGTCCCCCTTGGACCCCTTCTCTTCCTCCATCTACAAACACACCTCCTCCTTGGTCACTTCGATAAACTCCCACCGGGCTTTAAGTACCATCTCTTTGCTGATGACACACAAATCTATCTTTCTACCCCTTACCTTGGCTCTTCAGTCTCCTCCTCACCCTCACCTGTCTCCTCTCGCATTACTAACCTACTAAGTGACATATCGGCATGGATGTCACTCCTCTTCCTCAAACTTAATATTTCCAAAACTGAGCTCTTAGTATTCTCCCCAGCCTGTGCCCCCTCCCCGGACTTCTCCATCAAGATCAATAATACAATCATCAGTCCCTCCCCTCATGCCAGGGTACTAGGTGTAATCCTAGGACTCCCATCTGTTCCTTTCACCGCCAAATCCAATCACTGTCCAAATCTTGTAGACTTCACCAAGACAACATCTCCAAGATACGCCCTTTCCTACCTTCGGAAACAAAAGTAAGCAACTTATTCCCTCCCTTGTTTATATTCTCACCTTGACTATTGTAACTCCCTCCTCATTGGCCAACCTCATCGCAGGCTATCCCCTCTTCAGTCTGTCATGAATGCTGCTGCCAGACTCATCCACCTTACTAACCACTCCTCCATATCTGCCATCCCTCTCTGCCAATCCCTCCACTGGCCTCCACTCAGTATCCTCCACCCCTCTCTGCCAATCCCTCCACTAGCCTCCAACCCTCTCTTCCAATCCCTCCACTGGCCTCCACTCAGTATACTCCACCCCTCTCTGCCAATCCCTCCACTGGCTTCCCGTTTGCCCAATAGATAAAATTCAAAACACTAACAATAACATATAAAGCCAATTATAACTCTGCTCCAAATTACAATCACCGATCTTGTCTCCAAAATATCACCCAAACCGTCCTCTCCGCTCCTTGCAAGACCTCCTACTCTCTAGCTCCCTTGTCTCCTCCTCCCATGTTAATCTCCAGGACTTCTCCAGAACTTCCCCCATCCTCTGGAACTCTCTACCCCAATTTATCAGACTATCACCTACTCTGCTCACTTTTAGGCAATCTCTGAAAAACCGATCTTTCAGGGAAGCCTATCCGCCCTCAGCTAATACTGGAATCTTCTACTCTTCCAACCAGTCCATCCCCCACAGTTACTACCTTTTGTACCACTAGCCCCTCCTCGTAGATTATAAACTCCCAGGATCTGGCCCTCAAATCCTGTTGTATTGAACTGTATTAATAATATATATAATTACTTGCGAGCCATTGAGGTATAATAAATAAATATATAGGTCAGCAGGCATCTATTCACATCCTCATATAAAAATGTGTTTTGTAGTAATGTACAGTAAATTGATTGCTTATTGCCACGCCTAAATGTGAGATATGAATACTTCCAGAAATAATGAACCTTCCAAAAATCAACTTATTACAACTTTAAAATAAATAATAAAATGTGAAAAAAACAAAAAAAAATATCATAATATTAGTAATTTAAATAAGAAAATGAATAGTGTCCAAAAAAATCAACACAAATTCGATTCGAAACTTTTCTTATCCCTTCACAATTATTCATATAAAAAGATGAGTTAAAATCAGTGAAACCGTAAATGCTTGTGACAGGTCTGGGGGGGGCCTCACACTCTTTTAAAAGACTTATATCCCCGTGAATTTTGGGTTTCCCGGTGAGGGAAAAAAAAAGCCCCCCCCAAATTTGCTTGCCCCACAGGGAAACGGGGGCTTCACCCGGGGGGTGATAACCGGGGAACGGGCCCCTAGGGCCAAACGCGTTGGGGGGGGGCTTTGACGTCCCCACAGAACCCACCTTTCCCCCCGGGGGGTTTTAAGTCTATTTGACGAGTGTGAGAAACCCCCCGCGGGGGAACCTGTCACCACGATTTTTAGGGGTTTTCACTGATTTTAATCAGCTCTTTTTATACTGAAAACTTGGGAGTGTTTAAGAAGAATTTGTGAAAAAAATTGTTTTTTAAAAAAGAAAAGGGGCCCCATGTATCTTTTTTTTCCCCCACTATCCAACGAGGAATAATACAAGGGAGGGAGCACTTTTTTTTCCCATGAGAAAAAAAAAACCCAAAAACATTTTTAAAACCAATCCCCGCCAGCCACTGTAAAATACGGGGGCAGGGACCCGGCCAGGGCAAAACCATTTTTAAAAACCCAAGTGTTTTTAAAACGGGTAGGGGGAACGTGAGGGGGGGTTTGGCGGCCCCCCTACAGTCCCCGATCTTTCCCAGGTGAACTCAAAGGGGGTCACAGGGGTTGTTTATCAGCAATGCCCTGGGTTTAAAGGGGAATCATTGACAGAGAGCAAGCGAAAGTAGCGTTCTTTCTCGTTCCGAAGCCCCCTGAACAAGTTGATGGGGAAAAAAAAGGTTTTTAAATTTTTCCCGGGATTGCGGGTCCCGTGCATTCACCCCCCCCCTATTTAAAAACCCCCCCTACCCCAGAAAAACCCTTTTCCCTGAAAAATTTAAATTTAACCCCCTTTTTTTTTAAAATTTCAGTTTTTTATCCAAAATTTTGACGGGATCAATTCACCGAAAGGAAAGCCAATTTGTGGTTAAAAGGAAAAATTTCTAGTCTTTCAAGCGCGGAATTGTGTTTTTACCCCGTTCCAAAGGTGGTAATTACAGTCTTACCGTTGTACGCAACACACCCGGCCCAAATTGGGATTTTACCAAACAGGAACCGATTTTCACAAATAAAACCCACTATGTGAGTTAAAAATTTTTTATCTGAAAGTATTTATGTTTTTCTAAAAAATTTTTTTTAGGGTAAAAATAAAATGGTGATCATACAAGTGAAAATTATTTTTAAAAAGGACTAAATTTGTGGCTTCTTTCCCCAATACAGGAATAATCAGGAAGTAGCAATTTTGCCTTTGGGGGGTAAATCCCAGCCAATAAATTTTAACCCATCGGAGTACCCAAGGAGTCTCAAAAGATCTCCATAAAAGGATAAACATCACAAAGCTGTGTTAGCCCAGAGTGGGCTGAATGGAAAGGTGACCATGAAAATTATATTCCAGCAAGAATCCCTGCAATTTGTTTGTATTTTTTGCTGTATTTTTTCTCCCTCCTTATGTAAAGCGCTGAGAAAATGTTGGCGTATATAAATCCTTTATAAAAAATTACTCCTTTACTGCCAGTCCCAACCTCTCCGATCTCCTTCAGACCGCATGGAGCTTTTTTATCTTTATTCCAGATCACTTCCTTTTCTGTTCCTGACATCACTTCCTGTTCATATTCCATAGAGAAGTCCTGTCTGGGTAGTAGAAATGAGATCACCATCTTGTGGAGTTCAGAGGAACTGCAGCCCCAAAAAATGTCCCTAATACCAATTTCCTGCATTGTATTACCTTACAGAGATACAGGGAAGTCAAAAACAACAAAAAATGTAAGAAACAATAAACCTAACTTTATGCAACCAACTGTTTAAAAAGATATTTTACTTTCAGATAGAAAAGTCTTAAAGACAGAGAACACAAGATAAAAACAAAATGCATAATAAAACAGAGACCTCTAAAATCTGACACAACTACCCATAAGTCCCTCCTTCATATCAAGAGAGACAGACTACCAAATGTCCTGTCCCTTCCTATTAGAAGGAAAGACTACCCAGAATGTCCGTCCCCTTTATAAAGAAGAAAGACTACCAGAATGTCCCTCTTCATATGAGACCCAACAGACTACCCAGAATGTCCGTCCTTCATATCAGAGAGAGACAGACTACCCAGAATGGTTCCATCCTTCATCAAAGAGAGACGAAATACCAGAATGTCCCGTCCTTCATATCAGAGAGAGAAAGACTACCCAGAATGTCCTCCTTTATACAAGAAAGACAAAACCCAAAATTCCCGCCTTCTATCAGAGAGAGACAAATACCCAAATGTCCCGTCCCTTCATATCAAGAGAACAGACTACCCCAAAAGTCCCTCCTTCAAACAGGAAAGACAGACACCCAAATGTCCATCCTCATATCAAGAAGACAGACTACCCCGAATTTTCCTTTCCCTTTATATCAAAG